TAATTTAGCAATTAAAATAAGTTTTAAATAAAAAGATCTTAGCCTGGCGCCGAAAAACAAATAATGACGGCACCAGGCAGACCTCTCTGGGGAGCGCATTCCATAGATGGGGCGCCACCACCGAGAAAGTCCTTCTCCGGGTACTCATCCTCCTAATATCATTCACAGAGGGTTCCCGGAGAAGGGCATCCGTTGCTGATCTCAAGGGGCGGAAGGGCATATATGGGCGCAAGCGTTCCTTTAGATATCCAGGTCCCAAGCCATTTAGGGCTTTATAGGTCATAACCAACACCTTGAATTGGACCTGGACTTCAATCGGGAGCCAGTGGAGCTGACGGAGAACTGGGGTTATATGAGAACAACGCCCAGTCCCCGTCAGCAACCTGGCAGCTCTATTCTGCACCAATTGAAGTATCCGGACCGTCTTCAAGGGTAGCCCCACGTAGAGCGCGTTACAGAAATCCAATCGGGAAGTTACCAGCGTGTGTGTCACTGTCGCCAGGCAGTCGTTCTCCAGGAAGGGACACAGCTGATGTATCAGCCGAAGCTGAAGGAAGGTGCTCCTTACCACCGCCGTCACCTGAGCTTCTAGAGATAGCTCAGGGTCGAGGAGCACTCCCAAGCTGACGGGGACTGGGCGTAAACAGAACTCCCCATACATCACATAACCCCTTTACAGAAACACTCTGGGACAATTAGACTGGTGGTAATTGATTTATTTGGTTGTCTTGTCACCCAGGAATAAAATGTTACTCTTGCCCACTCCCCATCTTGCCATCTTATGGATGCTTCACTCTCAAATGTACAAGGGAAATTATCTAATTTACCCATCACTACCCCACACAACATCAAGTAGAAGTTTTCTTTTTTGATCTAATAGTTCAGCATTTATGATGGTGCAATTCACATCAACATTCATTACTATACACCAGCTTTCCACAACATGATACCTCTGGAAGTCTTGAACTATAACTCCCATCCTCCCTAGCCAATGTGACCGTCTAGAAAGCCAGAATGCAGGATTGGGGATGTGCTGAACCTCTCCAGAACATTGTTCACACCTGCCCATTGGACGACTTCTGGTGCCCATCCCTTTCTAAGCAAGAGAGGCAAGCTCAGAAGTTAGTGAGCATTTGCAGACCCGCAGTTGTGCAACCAGGAACTTCCCCAGCTGCCATTCTTGGTGGCCAACTTCCCTCCCTGGTCACTACCACTGGTGGCAGCAGATATGCGCAGGGAAAAGGTGAGCAGAAAGTGGGCACACCACCACGGCAGTGCTTGCAGAGGCTCAGTTCCTGGCAGGTGCAAAACCCTGGACACGCTTATGAGGAATTTGGATTCTGGGCTGCTGCAAAGCAGACTGAAGTCCAGGAGGCCAAATAAATAGGGAAGCCAGTAGATTTTCCACCCAGAACAGATTTCTCACACATCTCTGTATAGGATAGCTGATGAACTACTAGTTGGACCAAGAAAACAAGCTTGTATTGAGTATCATGCATCATTAATACATGTTTGAATATCTAGATTTAGGCAATCTTAATGATCTAAAAACAATTCCTATAAATTTTGAGTTAACAAAGTATTATTCGACAAACAATGTCAGACAACTAAATCAAGTGACAGAGAGAAGTCAGAAAACATGTCTGCACAGATAGTGGAATATCTGGACAGAAACAGATTCTAAAAACTTACTTTGTGGATCTCCTTTTCAACTTTTTCAAGGAGAGGCCTTGGAACACTGACAGCAACACTTGTGCCATCTAATACATATTGGTCAACACGACCTTTAACTACTGAATCAACAACTTCTTTTTCTTTTTGAAGACGTTTAAATGTTCCTGTTATTAATGTCCATAAACTGCGAACCTTTGGGATAATAGAGAATAGAAGGAAGAGAGAAAAGGAAAATATCAGTGATGCAGAGGGGGAACTGTGCTATAGTTGGATATATATGACAAAATAGCCTCACCTTCTCCATTTTCTCTGCTGTGTTACTCTGGTCATGATCAACATTTTTCCCCATTCTACTCAAATAATTACAAAGAGAAAATATACATGTTATTACCAATAAATGGCAATATTCTACAGACAAAAAATTTTCATGCATTTTGATATGTACCAAAGATTATCTATTGAAGACTGGCATGACAGAGCACAAAATGCACAGATAAACACACAAAGCCTCCTTCTCCCATGTATTAAACCCTGTCATATGTAATGCTTCCTTGCAAAAGCATTAAGGAAATAACTGGGAAAACAGTCTTAAGGGCACAATCCTACTCATTTTCTGACAGAAAAAAATCTGTAGCACTCAGGAATTTCCCAACCTGCTGAGAGTTGCAGAACTTTTTCCTGTTTAAACAGACAACCTAGACAGGTTGTTTACATGCTTGTTTCTTGTAGAATATACTTACTTTTGAAGCTGTTTTTCCAGATCTGCATTTTGATATCTTAAATCTCTTATTCGTTTACTGAAAAACCTGTAAACAGAACAGTAATGGTTAAGATTCACAGTGGAAGAGTTGTTCATGACTATCTCATGATCTACTGACAGTTAACAGGTACTATTAAATAGAGGAAAAGCATCTTTTCCACATCAGGTAAGCCTCAAATAAAAGGGTTTAAAAATAAATATTTTCCCCTATGCATAACATTCAATATACCATGCACAGAATTCTGCTCACATGATAGACTTTCTTCCTTTTTTCCCCCCTACCACCCTTCCCAAATCACCTGCCCGCTATTTCATTGACAGAATCTGTTCCATTGGTAGGAGGAGCTAACTAGATACAACTCTACATTGCTATCCTTCAATAACATGCAACTTTGAAGTGACAACCCCTTGAGTCTACTGAGAAGATTTGAGGAATACAGTCTTTCTCATAATCAAGCAACCTTTTCTATATGCAGAGAACCAAATCATCTTAAATATTCAGTGGTCTGAATTATCCAAATTGTCCAGTCTATGCCTTATAATTGCAACTTTCTCTATAATTTGGGACAACAGGATATTCTATAGTAAGGAATGTTGCCAATTCATCTAGAATCTAAACATTACATTAATTTATAGATGCTCAACCTACTGTGCTTTTTTCTGAAGTTCCTGAACTATCAGATCTTCTTTTTGAAGATTCTGTATAAATCTGTTACGTGCCACACGGTATTTTGCTGCTGCCTTATACAAGTCCTCAGATTTAGCGTTCACGGCTTCTGGATAAGGTATGTCAGCACCTGGTATGAAAGAAGCAAGTTTTCCCTTTTTCATTTGCCCCTTCTCCACTCCTATATTTATTCTGCCCTCTGTGCTTCCTGAACCTAGTATTAGCAGTCAGCATTCCAGGGGAACAACAGAACCTCTATACTTCTCAATAGTCAGACCTCACCTGGAATACTATGTCCAGTTCTGGGCCCGAAGATTTAAGAAAGATGCAGGTAAATTAGAAAGGGTCCAGTGGAAGGCAACAAAAATGATCCAGGGTTTGGAAACACTGCTCTATGAGGAGAGACTGAGGGAAATGGGCATGTTCAGCCTTGAGAAGACTGAGGGAGGACATGATATCCCTCTATAAGTACCTCAAAGGCTGTCACAAAGAGGAAGGTCAAGATCTCTTCTTACTAATGCCAGAATGTAGGACACGGAATAATCAATTCAAGCTGCAGCAACCCAGATTCAGGCTGGACATCAGGAAAAGCTTCCTCACTGTCAGAGAAATGCAACAGTGGAACTGGCTGCCTAGAAAGGTGGTGGGCTCTCCCACACTAGAGACATTCAAAAAGAAACTGTATAGCCATCTGAGTGGGATGGTGTAACATGGTGTCCTGCAACAGCAGGGGGTTGCACTCAATGGCCTTCATGGCCCCTTTCAACTCTGCTATTCTATGATTATATGATATTCAACTGTAGCCAAGTAACCCACTACCAAATGAAAAAAAAAATGTATGTAGGCATATGAACTATTTATTTCAAGAATTTATATATACACTTGAGCAAAGCTTCCAATAGAGTTTACAAAACAAGATAAAATACAAAATTCAAATTACAGCAACAAATTAAAATGCTGTAAAAGAGGAAAATATTTCTAAGCAGTGCTTACTTAGCACTTTATTTCTTACTCTTTTGCTCAGGGATGCAAACATTTCTATCTTATAGGCAAACTTTTAATTTAATGATACAAACCCTGCTGGTTTAAGACCAAAACGAAAGAAATCTTATGTTATCACAAGGTCACAAAGCTAACCTTGGAAGCTAAGTCTGATGCCTTAACTGATGTGCCCTGTGATCGCTGGTGATGCTGTGCAACGTCAGAAATTGTGCTTGCTTACAACCTACCCTTCATATACCTACACTGCTCCTTGATCTTTCATGCCCATCTAGATAAGGAGGATGGACCCAGGACCAGCAAAGTCCTGTATTGCCTTGGTAAGTATCTGAGCCTGTTTTGCCAGAAGAATCATTCTGTAAGTTGATGCATGTCAATACGTTGCTTATACGACTAGCTAGCAGGACAGGCTGAAGAGTGAGGGAGTGCACTCATCAAAAAGTTTTGGCTACTGAATGGTATAGAAATGAAATGAATGCTCATCCTCATCTAGCAGGAAGACTAAATGCTCCATAAAGATATACAGGACTAGGAAAATATGGAGTATTTCTGCTGATGTATGGGTAGAAGAGGAGTAAGCTGTGACCAAGCACATCTTCCCCAGCAGTAGAAGAATGCTGGATGCATTAGATGGGCCATTCTATTTTTAACACAGGGCTTCCACAGCATGCCTTAACATCCAATGCAACATTAAGAGTTCCACAACAGGTCATTTATGTGGGAAATTTCCTTAACAGCACAAACACCTCCAAAATAGAGCATGGGCCACCCTGGAAGAGACAACATGCCAAGAACAACATGCACTATACCTTACCTGCACAATCCGCTTTAATATGATGAATTATGACATGCCTTGCAAAGTGGAACATTAGGTGCATGAACTTAGGTCCACCCGGGGAAAGGAATAATGAATTAACAACTGGAGGAAAATTGTTTCCACATTCATCCTAGGAAAGTAAAGGGATTAAGAATATAGTTGTGAAAGTGAACTGCAGACTACACCATCATCTTTTAGATTAATTGTATCTAATGCCTGCTTATATTTGCTGTAAACAGTACTTCTGGCACACGGAACAGTGCCCAACAACTTTACTACCTCGTAAGAAAAGGCATCATGCTTGGCTTTACCACAAGCAGCTGCCGCCATGGTATCCACAGGGAACGATATCCCTTCCCCCATGTGTCACAGAAGTGTCCTTCCCCATTATAGTTTTACAGTGGAAAGGACAAGCATGAGAAAAACAGGTTCTGTTGGGCTGGATCCCACCCTGCAAGATTGCATCAACTGTAACCTCACACTGGTGAAAGCTGTTTTAACAGCAACCCCATATATTCTGAATGCAGGGTTATGCTCAATGGCATATTTTTAAAAGACCCAAGGGAGAACTAAGCATAAGAGCATTAAGAGACATACGAATTTCCTGATTCTGGATGACTGGTTTTCCTAGCCTATCTGGGACTGGCAAGCAGTCTCGTCCCTCTTTAAGTAAATAACCAAGTTAAGGGAGCAAACAAGTGTGGGGAGGGGAGCGGGGAAGGGTTAGGGCCTCCTGTCCTTCATAATCTCTTCTGGTTCTCCTTGACCTGTTGCTCCCTTCTAAATTTTCCTCTACTGACTGGTATTTTTCTTAGCTATTAAATATCTTGGGATAGTAAAAAAAAAAAAAGGTACAGGCAGAAGAACCCATGAGAGGAAAATTCTCTCCCCAGAGTGTGCAAACTTTGAAAATAATTTGTGTAAGCATCACATGCATAAATATAAATATATAAGGAGCAAAGATGCAGGCAGCTTTCCATTCTTACCCATACTTACTGAAATTCTTCTTAGCCATTCACAACATTGCTTCCTGAATTCAGAATCTGCCTTTTTATCTGTGGGAGGAAAACAGAATCTTTCCATTCCCAAGGAAGGGAAAGAGCCAAATTTCAACAAACATTTCAGAAAGCAAACATATCCTTCTCATAATCTCATAAATTAACACTACAAAAGGTTCTTCATGTTCTCTGAAATTACTAATAGATAAATGTTTACTGTACATAACCTAAGAAGTGCTTCACATAATGGTAGATCTACATATACATAGTTGTAGTGCACTTTAGGACTCGTTTAATACTACTAGAATGTTACATTAGTTTGGGAGAAAACAAATGGCACCACACTCTAATGTATTCACAATGCCTGTGAAGTAGCAGAAACTTCAGCTGGTCCAAGATCTGGTAAGGATTTTGGTGGGTGCTTGCCTCTGGGGAACACATGGTAGCTATTCTGCAGTAGTTGCAATAGTTCTAGACCATTTCCAAGCATAATTCAAGATTCTGGTATAACCTTTGAAACCCTAAATGACTTAGGCTCAAGTCTGTAGTACCCCATATGAGCCTGTCCATTCTTTTAATATCTGCTGGATGAATCTTCCTCTATTTCCCTTCCATAACAAAAATAAAACACAAGTGATGAAGATACAGAAGTTATCTGTGGCAGCATCTTGAAATCAGGTTACCTAAGGTCCTACCTTGGGAAGTGTGTTTGGCCCATTCCTGGTTATGACATTTTTATTTATGTCTTGGTATTTTAATTTAAACAGAAATTTAACCTGTGAGGATGATGACTTTTAGTAAACCTATCTCTTGTTTGTAAAATCTGTAGTACCTCTTCCTTATTTTAAGCTGCACTCTTATCCTCAGTTCTGCATACAATCTCAGTGAATATTGTATACCCGGAAATAAATCTGATATGCACAGATTTCACAATTATTTTGGTATGTTTTATAAACAGACTTGAACATTGATTAATTTGTTCTCAGCTACACTATTTTATTACACTAGAAAGGTGCAGTTTATAATTTTATAGGAACAACAAGGTGATCACAACAACCACTTAATCTCCAAAGATATTAAGAATGTTCAGTTTGTATAAAAGTGATGTCCATTTTATGGGATCCAACTGCCTTCTTTAAGGAAGCATTTCTATTTTGGTGATGCAGTATTTTTCAAGTACTGAAACAGTATACTGCAAATATATTATTCTTGACATCAACAAGGGGTTTGAGTTTTGTTGCTCGTCATTACATGCTTCTACAACTTTGCAACCAAACACCAGCATTCAACCTGCAAATATAGCACTCTTACAAAAGTAGCAACCAAAGAGTGAACACACACACAGATATATATAAGCTCTTGTTAGATGGTTTCTCTAAGATCACACATGTGCAAGTTTCAAATCTCATCTTTCCAGCACTTTCCTACTTGTACAAAATGTCTATCCTCTGGAGGAGAGGCTTATAGAGGGGAATACATGGTTGTATAACAACTAGACTTCTATTATATTTGAATTGCATATTACACTTTTTCATGTGAATTAGGATTAACAGGTCAGTCCCACAAAGGTTAATTTTTGGCTTGGCTAACAAGGCCAGCCAAAATTTGTGATTCTCACTAAACAAATGTAAGAAGGAATATCTTTATAAAGACCTATGCAATAAATGTGGCTTAATGATACCCAAGAAACAGGACACTTACCTGAAGGTCTCCTTACAACGTGACTGGTCCAGCTTTGAAAACAAGAACCATGCAACAATATGAAATGCATCTTTGTTTGGTTTATCAAACAAGTTCCTTTAAAAAAGATAGGAAAAAATAACTAAGACAAAACATTACACCATGGACAATACAATGGAACATATCAGGACCACCTCATTGTCTCCCAAGGTCTTAAATAACAAGTTCATGGTAAGTAGAAAATAACAGCACGCACACTTTTTCAAGCATTGATGGTTCCTAGAGAATAGCATTTAACTAGGTTTGGTTTCATTTAGTGGGAGGTTGAGTCTTTCTAATATTTTGGAATATTTGCATTTACCTCATAAGCACTGGTTGAGCATTTGTAGAAGTTCAGCTTAAGTACTCTAACAGGCAAAAATACTGTAAGCTTACATAGCCCCAAACTGTCTTTCCCTCTGGTTGACTCAAGCTGCAGTTTCAATATAAGTATTGCCTCCCACTAGGAACAGGAAGAGAAGGTTTGTCCATTCTCTAATGGCTCATTCTGTTCAACACATTCCTCCGAATTGTTCTGTATCAAGAAGTAACTAAGTAACTTTAGGTCCCTGTCAATAGATCGTCCATATTTTCCTGACAGAATGTACCAGACAAGACACCTCTAACAGACATCTATATAATGATCTATGCCAGGAAAGAGCCAGGGGCAGTATGACCCTGTTGATACTGCTGGACCTCTCAGCAGCTTCTGATGCCATCAATGATGGTATCCTTCTGGGGTGACTCTGAGTTGGGTGTGGGGAGCAGTGTGTTGCAGTAGTTTCACCCCTACTTGGAGGGCCATCTCCAGGAGGTGGTGCTTGGGGAATATTGCTGAATTCAGTAATCTAAGCTCTTGCAATCTCTAAATGATATCATTGCAATGCACTCTATGTGAGGCTGCCCTGGAACATGATTCATAAGCTGCTGATCATGCAGAATGTAGCAGCCAAAATAACTGGAACCCGTAGATTTGAACACATAAGACCAGTTCTGGCCTACTTGCACTGGCTGCCTATATATATTTTGATGGACAATTCTAAAGGCTGGTTTTAACCTATGAAGCCTTAAAAGGCTTGCGGCACACTACCTTTCAGAGCTCCTCTCCCACTGCATTCCACTCAGACACCATGGTCAGCCTCTGAGGCCTTCCTTCAAGAGTCAACTTCAAGGAAAGCTGGGAGGAAGGCAACAAAGGGGAGGGCTTTCTCCCCTCATCTACAGAACAGCCTGCCCACTGTGGCCTGCCTGTGGCCAATCTTGTCATCTTTTCTGCATCAGGTTAAGACAGGCCTTTATGTGGTGGCTTGTAACAATTTACTTGGCTACCCAGGAGTTTGAGAGAATTACCCATCCCAAATGTTATTTTACTATTTTGTTTTATAAAAGCCACCAAACAAGTTTTGTCTAAGAAGTCAGAAATAAAATAAACAACAACAACATCAGATTTGTCAAATTTTAATTAACCATTCTGGCCCATTAGTCCCCCATGATGGATCTGGCTACCTGCCCCCTCCCACGATTTATACCACGATTTATATTTACACTGAAATATTTCACCCGTTTATTTCTGCCTACTAAATAAGTGTTCATGGTGAAGCAGCACTCATTTTTAACAAGGCAGTAACCACCTCACAGATAAGTAACAGAATAATTGGAAAGAATCCTGGGACATTCAGTCCTAGATTTCTCCCTCTTGGGGAGCTGAAGGTGCGGGAAAGAAATACATAAATCAATATAATAGGCGCATTAAATACATATCAATTTGAACGTAAGTGGATAGGAGCAGAGAACTAACGGGTGCCTCCCTGCTTACGGAGCGTCCACGCCACGCCTTTCGTACTCACACGCCCAGACGGAGATGGGTGGAAATTTTTCCGGCGCCGGCTTGTGCGGGATCGAAGCCCAGCGCCAAAAGGTAGAGCCAGAGATGCTCTTTCTCCCAGGCAGGAGGCTGGAGCAGCGCGCTCATCTCCACAACGAAGCCGGGGCACCTCAATTAAACGGCTAGTGCCGTTCAGCCAGGTAGCCTCAGAGGACTCGTCTCTGTCACTCAGGCGCTATTCGCTACCGCCACATAGCCCCTCCTCGCCTCCCCCTTTTACGGCCGTCCAGACACCGCGTCAATGAAGACTGTTAGCATGATCGTTCTCGTCGCCACGTTCACCGCCATTTTGCTGAAACCGCCAAAACAGAAGACGAAGGGGAGGGAATAGGGGATAATAAAGTGAGGGACGCATCAGCCAATCAAAACTCGCGCTGAAACTTTTACGTCACCAGCCTATTTCGACGGGGCGGCAGTTTTCGGTCCCAGCACGCACCGCGACCGGTCATGCGCAAACTCGGCCCATCAGAGCGCGCATAGAGATATGAACACAATCGAGTAGAGCGGTTGTTTTTAAAGGAGCCACCATTTTGATTCTTTTGTTTTTCCTGACTCTTTCCCCTCACATTGGACGGAAGTGAGAGCTTTCCATAGACAGTAATAATAAAGTAAAAGAAAGCAGAATTTTCACGAAGTCGTTTATCTCTCTCATGCCCCTTGCCACACGCAGCAAAAACGAGTAGCAAGATTGTGTGTTTTCACAACTCAAGTTTTATTTTGCTTTCGGTTTTTCTCAAAAAAATTCCTCTGCCAATACCAGTAACTTCGTCCTGCCAAATAGCCCATAGTTGAGATTTTATAATAATCATCAGACGGTATATAAGATATTCAAAATAAGTAAACAAAATAAGAATGGGAGCATCTACAGACGCGTTCCTAAGCAACCTCAGACAAAAGTTGTTAGGCGAGGTTGCGTTGTCTCCGATTTATGGCGAGCCTATGAATGAAAGGCCCTTCAAAAGGTGGTTATCTCTAACATCCCTATTCAATGCTTTTAAATTCAAAGTTGTAGTTTCCTTTATAGAATCTCATTTTTGGTCTTCCTTCTCTCCTGCCTGAACTTCCCCTAGCATGACTGTCTTCTCCAGTGAGTCTTGCCTTCTCATGATGTATCCGAAGTATGACAGCATCAGTTTTGTCATTTGTGCTTCCATGGAAAGCTCTGGCTTGATTTGTGTTAGGACCCAGCTTGTTCATCTTGCTGTCATTCCAGTTGTTATATGACTCAGACACACACACCAATAATGCCACATTATGTTGCAGGCTGCTAAACATTTAATTCCAAGCCACATTTGAGTCCCTAAGTTAGCCCTTCTCTTGCACCAATCAGCTAGCCATGTTTGTTCATTTGTTTCAGGGCAAAAAGCAACATCCATCACCTAATTCATGTGGGTGGCAAATGACACTGTCATCATTTAAAAGGCTCTTTGGGATTAATCTGCAAGCCAAGCTTGGACAGAAGGTAGATCTGGCTCTACTGGTAGGTCTCGGGGTGGGAAGAGTTTAGCATAGTGTACCGGACTGAGCCAGTCAACAGCTGGGGCAAACCCCAGTGGACCCCAGACCGAAGCCAAACAGAGCCTGAGATGAGACTTAGAGCCAAAATCAGCTTTATTCTAGTGCACTATAGAATAACGGGAGACAAAAGGGGACATTCAGCCCAAAGCAGTGTCTCAAAAGTTGCACCACAGTACATGCATTTTATACCCTGTGTAACCAATTAGGTCACCTAATTCACTTCTAATATATTGATACATCAATGTATGTACCCCCTCCTGTGCTGGAGAAAGAATCCTTTCTTCTGTCAAGGACCAGATATTTCTCATGTCTATTTCTTATCTGCTCGAGATTCACACAGGCTTGCCATGTTCTTACTCCCTGCACATTTGCAACTTTCATGGCGGCTAGAAACAGTTTCCACTGCCCCTTTGATTACTGTATTCGAGGTCAGGCTAGCGTATTAGCTGTGGGTTACACAAAGTTCATTTTGTTCTTATCCCCCCTCCCTTCTGGGCCAGTATAACTGTGGTGTTTTTACTATGTGGCCTTCCTCTGGCCCTTTTTGGGGCCTTTCTCGGGCCAATTACTTTTGGGGTGTTTTGGGATGCTGCAATTGGTAACAATAGTTTGGGAAGATTTTCTGAAGCCCAATGGTTTCGTAAAGGGAAAAAGTAGCCATGACTCTTTGTGTATGAATGGACAGTAAACTCAGTTCTGGTAATGAAAACAAGTATTTAAACATATGCTCAGAAGCACCTTGGTTCTTAATTGTAAGCAAACAGAATATCTCCACCCACTCATCCCTGAGCCACCATTTTGCACCTGATTTTGGTTGGTGGCTTTTAGGTTCTATAAGAAACAAAGATCCATCAAACCTCAATTCTGCCCACTCCTTTTTAAAAAATTCAAATAGTTTATTGTAGCAATATATTAAATTCAGTCAGATACACAACTTTATTTATACATCTGTAAATAATTCAATTAGACTATCATATAGATTAATTAGTCCATTTGTATGCCAGATTAAAACCTGAAACTCCAGAAATCAAACAGATTAATCTGGGATCCATCTTCACCATTCACTTCTCACAAATACATTAAGAATGTGTACCAAGTTTATTTATTTATTAATTAAAACATTTTTATGCCGCCCCATTCGCCGAAGCCTCGGGGCGGCTTACAACAAAAAATTAAAATAACATTTTAAAATATATACAGTAAAATACAAATATATAATATAAAACATACAATATAAAACAAGCCACCCTGGCCAAATAAAAAACTATCTTTCCCCTCTAGTTGCACAGAAGCAACTGGTTAGTTTCTCTACCTTTAACACTGCCCATATTCTGTCATGGTAGCTCTGAAATGAGAGTCCTTGGGCATTTTTTCCAAGCCCTGGCAACCCTGGTTCTTGGAACTCCTGCAAGTGTTGCCAATAGTTCTTTATAATGCAACCCCCCCCCCCATGCTCCCCAGTAAACAATTAAAACAGCAATAAAATCCCATTAGGAGTTATCTTGTGGCATCATTCAGTTCTTCTCCTACTCCATGCCAGACTGGCTTGATCTTCAGATAGAAGATCCACATCTGATCAAATAACCCCCTTAGCCACAGTTGTTGCAACACATTTTGGAAAGCTCATTAATGTAATTTTCTGGGGCAAAAAGTGGCACCAATGAATATAATGTCCTGAATATAATGTCCTTCGACCTGGCCAGTGCAGACTTATAGACAACCATATTCTTGCCCACAACTCCTGGCATACTAGTAGTTAGCGTTCTTTCCCAAGTTATCTTGGTCCCCATGCTGTTACCATATCTTTCCTCAAGTATAGGAAGACTAAACTCTTAAAAAAAACAACTAAACTCTTCAGCACGAAAAATTTCAAGTCTTGTAAGCACACTTATTGAACCCTTATTATGCATGCATGTTGCCAGTTTTAAATCTGAATTAATTGGAACCAACTGGTTCTTATCTGAGTGGTTTTACGTGTTGTATAGAAATTGGTTTTTCACTTATAAATAATCTCAAAGTATATAAATCCCAATTTCTTTCTATGACTGATATTGCCCATGTTTATCTTGAAAATTGAATTTGGGATGTTCCAAAATGGGGCATAATGGAGATATGGGAGGAACTAAGAATTTCATATCTTTATTTCATATCTATATCATTTCCATAGTGGTTGTATATTTTAACTATATTCCTTGGGGATTTGGTACCTATTGTTGGGCCCCACCCACCTGGCAGGAGGCTATCAGTTGTGTATTGGGGTCAGCACAATAGGCAAGTTTCATCAAAGGGGTAAAAACTTAAAAGGATAGACCGGCTGCAGAGCCTCCCCGCTCTTATCAGGAGATAGACCAGCTGCAGAGCTTCACTGCTGTTATCAGAAGTTAGACAAACTGCAAGGTCGCTCCGCTTTTTTGTATCAGAGCTGCAAATCCTCTCGCTTCTGTAAATCATGCTAGCTTGCTTTATGCTGCCAAGAAACGATTTTCCTTTTTTTTTTGTGTAACCGGGTATAAAAATTCTGCTACCTCTCTACGAGGGGCCGGCACTCAATCCCACCCTTGTGAGATTGTGCTGGTCTTTGTGCAAGCAATAAAATTTGTTCTATGATACCAACTGGTCTCTAATCTCATCTGTAAAACCATGGGACATAACACCTATCAATAAACAACAACAAAATTAGCTTCCCCAAATGCTTTTGAGTCCAATCAAGGGTATTATTTATTTTTAACCATTTAACAGCTTGAGCTATCTGAAAAGTATTAAAGTATTTTATTAAATTTGGTACCACCAATTCTCCTTTTGGAACAGGTCTACTGTTTATGAATCTTTAGTATTTTTATGTATGTATTTATTTCTTAATTGCAAGCCTTTATATCCCATCCTTCCATGGAAGCACGCAGGACGGCTTACATTACACCCAGCTAGAAACTTTTCTCACCAGTATAGCTAATGGTGAAGAATCATGGGTGTTGTAAGAAGAGATAAGCAAACATAGAATGTTTGAAGTTGTTGAGATTCTGCAGATTCTTCCTCAAACTTTAGTTTACCTTGTTTGTGTTCCTGAATGCATCTCCCACCTGCCATGAGGGAAAATGTACATTTTCAGTCAGAGGAAAATGGCACTTTTAACAACATAGATTATTCCCAGTAAAAATGTGCATTTTTCTCACGGCTAAAGTAGGAACATGTGGATTTTAAGGGGATGTGCACATGTGTAAAGTAGGTACTTGTACATTTGCGAAATGTATACTTTTGGATATGGACACAAGTTTAGGAAGTCCTAAGACTTGCATTCCTGCTCATGTTTAGGGTTGAAAACAGGACATAAATTTGATGATTTGAGAAGCTGAAATACATTTTTGCATATCTTCAATGCTCTTTTCTCAAAGCTGAGTTGTGCTGTCACTCAGTCACTGTTCTGGATAGGAGCACATGCAGCTTTGCTTGTAAATTTGCACATTTTCATTCCGCCTTTCTTGAAAAAAATCAAGCTCAAAACAGCTTAGAGTAAAAATATTAATCGCAGCAAAATTAAAGACAAATCTACCAATAAAACAAACATAAAACACTGCCATAAAAATGTAACAACAAAATACACATCTTAAAAGCTTGTTTTCAGTCTTTCAAAACACTACAAGGTCCAATAAACATTTTAATATGTTTTGTTTCATACTTTGTGAAGCCTACAAGCTTTTTCATCAATTTTGAAACAGCACTGGCATAACTTTATGCAAGGTTTTGTAGCTCATGTTGTATTTGTTGATTTTGTGACTATTTTATATGAATTACCAGACAAATAAAATAGTGCCTGGCACTCATATGCATGGCTGCATTGAGAAATGTCACAAATGTGAATCAGCATTTCTTTCTTCTGGACGTTGAAAAAGCACCAGCTGTTCCTTCTTGTGGACCAGTCTTGTCATCTACCCAGGCTGGGAAGCATGTTCAGGCTGCAATGGTGATCCCAGTCTTTAGATGGTGCTCAAGTTCCCTAGTCAATAGATGAAGCATCTGATCTGATACCCAAGATCAGCTTTCCTCAAACTGGTGCCTTGAACTGTCTGGGCCAGGGGCCGGCAACCTTAAACACTCTAAGAGCCATTTGGACCCGGTTCCCGCACAGAAGAAAACACCGGGTGCCACAAAACCCTTTTGACATCTAAAATGAAGATAGCACTGCATATATTGTTGTTTACCTTTATGCTATGTATAAAAAACTACAGTGTGTTGCATTTATGAAATCAATGAATGATTCTTTTATATAATCTCCATCTGTGAGCGGCTTCCCGTGCCTGACTATTTCCTGAACGGCCACAAAACTAGCATATGCAGTTGAATTTGCGGGCTTCATCCACTTCTTGAAATGATTTTTGCTCAGATCAACCTTCCGCATCAGTTCCGAAATGGCTTTTTTTCTCTCATCTCCATCCAGATATTTTTCAGCAAAGGCTGTGTGTTCATTCTGGAAATGTCTTGCAACATTTGACTTGTTGTTTGCCAATTTCTCACCACATATTAAGCATACTGGTAAACCAGTCTCATCAGCAGTGAAAGCAAATGAATCTGCCCACTTACATTAAACATTCTGTTTTCTTCTGAAACTTTTCTTTTCTTGGATTTATCCATGGTTGGCCTACCGGGGGTCGAAAAGCTCAATAAATCACGTGCCAGTGGGTGTTGCACATTGGCAGATGTGTCGCAAATTTTGAGCGACAGGAAGCCGCAGCAGAAGGATGAAAGAGCCACGTGTGGTTCCAGAGCCGCGGATTGCTGACCCCTGGTCTCGGGGAATATGAGAATTGGTAGTGCACATCTGCAGGTACCATGTTAAAGAACACTGTCTTAGTTGGTGCAGCCCGAGACTGGAGAGCCATCTATTTGCTCCAGGTTCTCTTTTCAGCATCTTTCCAGCTTCCCCCCCTCATTTAGAATAGAGAGAGAGTGTGCGTGTTTTGTACTTCCACATACCTTAAGGCTGCCCACAAGCTTCCTGCTATTTTTTTTTCTGTGTGGATGATGTTTTGGCAACAAAAGAACTGACAGTGAAAAATGGAAAAACAAAATGAAGATTCTTTTCCCCACAAAGAAAAAAAAAGAACCTCCCAAAACCACAGTTGGGGAATTCCTTTATTAGGAAAGATATGAAATTCTTAGTTCTTACCATGTCCCCATTATGTCATATTTTGGAACTGATTTCCATATAACAAGTAGAAGATAGAACTGCCAAGGAATGAGTGGGGCTAGAAAATGTGCATTTTTAAATAACTTGCAGAGTGTCTTTTAAGGTTAGAACATTCAAAACTAGCTTTCCTACATCAGCAGTTTGAAGGTGGCACAGTTAAGGAGTTGGGCTATTTGGCTACTGGATGGTATAAAATGAAATTAATAAAGAAAGAACAGCAGGTTTGGGAAGGCTGCACTAGGCCTTAATCCTAAAATAGTCTTATGCCAAAATACACCCAGTCCCCGGGTTAAGAAAGCGTTCCATTCCTGAGTTCAACTTTAAGTTAAATTTGTATGTAAGTTGGATCGTGCTGCTTTTTCCCCCTCCCTCCTTCCCTCCCTATTTTCCCTTCCTTCCTCCTTTCCTCTTCTTGCTTGCCTACATGCTGCTCAGGGGCAAGGCAGAACTTCTGGGTTTGCTCATTCATAAACGGGATCTTCTTAAGTCATACATTCATAGCAGTAGGATTGGGTGCATTTCAAATGGAATATAATCATTTCTCAAACAGAGCACATATCTATCATTCTATCACTTCCTGTTTTCTAAGAAGGAGGGAGTTCAGTGAAACCAAAGCAAAACATCAGCCATCAGTTTATATTGTTCAAACTTTATTTCCAAGGCATTTCAGTGACTAGTTCTTAAAATATTAAAGTTACCATAAGGGTGTGCTATCTCATGCTACAGAGGAAGCCAGATTACATCTTTATTCCAGATCTGTGCACCTAATTTATAAAATTAGCACCATAGCATCCCCACAGCAAATGCAAACAGAACTGCCCATGATGTTAAAGGCTCATTCAAATAAAATGCAAATTTAAATGGTGCAGGCTTTCAATTATAGCATCCAATCAAGTGAGTCAGATACTTCATTTCTAGTTGCTAATATGAGTTCTCCCTTAAGCTTCTGGCTTGGATCAAGAAATACAGGATCTGCTTGTTTGCAAACTACAGCAACTATACAAACCCTGTGTTTAAGTAAACTTGTGCTGAACTGGAAGATTTCTTCATGATGTAGCTTTCTGATTCTTATTCATGTTCGTTCTTCTCTTTTACACTTCCACATGACCTCAACTACAGATGTCTCCTCTCACTTCCCCCTCCCTCCTTCTGTTCCTAGTTTTCCGGTTTGCATTTCATAAAGTTGCATTGAACTCTATTTTTTGCTCTTATGTTCTCTTCAACACATGCATTTATGCTTAATACAGCTTTCCCCAACTTGCTGCAGTCCAGGTGTTTTGACCAACTCCTGGATCCTGACTCTGGCTAAGGTTGATGGGAATAGGAGTCCAAAACAGCTAGAGTTCAGGAAGGCAAACCAAATTGTAACCAAGATGGCAAAGCTGAAGCCTGGTTGTATCACTTCTGACTGCTGATGGGGGCTCACACGACTGAATGCTCCATATATGTCCTTTCACATGCACAATTATATATGGAAGAGTTGTAGTCAAACCTCCTTCCTGGCACATGTTTTCTGTGTGTGGAGAATTGCTTCAAATGGAAGCGCAATGATACAAAGTTCCATATGCAATCTGAAATGATGGACCCCAGACTCGCATTATTACTTGAGCAAGAATGTGTTCAGTGCTTTGCTGAAGCATCAGATCATCAGAAGAGAAGAGAGAAAACTTTAAAAACTTAGTGCATGCAGTCACTCAGATGCTTTACAGCAAAACCACAAGAGATAAGGAACATTCAGTTCTTAGTTTGTTTTTCTCCCCAGCAAGTGAAGATGAAGCAGTACCAGAAGAGTTTTACAGAGGAAACAAAGAAGGAAACTTCATGCAGCAAATCTTCTTAGAGACAGTTTCAGATAGTATAGCAGGGCTGCTGTTTCTAAAGCTGTTGCTGGCCAAATTTGTGATATTCAGTAGTCTTAAAGAATCTTTAAGACTAGTTAATTGACCTGAAGGACAAAATGGTCTGTAACCCATGCTAAAATGTTTAGCTAGCATCTGTCCCACAACAATCATAAAAAGTCAGAATGTTAATGTACCTAAATGAAACAAAAGTGGTATAAACAAACCTGTAGTCTCCAAGAGCTAGATTATTTTGATTCATACAGCAAGAGGGTAAGTTAGCAAAAATGTATATGGAGAAATGTATATGTGTATATATCTGAAAGAACAGTTTTTTTGTGCTCAGTGTCTATTCAGCTCTTTGTCCTGTGCTGATTGGACCATTTACACGTGAATAATCCAGCTCCCCATCTTCATCCAAAGCCAAGATGTCTGGTATCTCATCAGATTCCGAAGACAAGTCTGTAATGGTGAAATCCGGAACCTGCAGAGAAAGAAATTCAGATAAATTTGAAGGCTAAATTTGAAACATTTCCCAGAGTATTAAGCACATGGCATCCCACACTAACTGCCCTACCTCCTCTCTGTTTCTCGATACAAGATATCATTAGTATTACATTTCTGTACTGCCATAGCTGAAACTCTCTGGGCAGTTCACAACATTAAGTCACCCATCCAGATTTCAATCAGGCTGACCCTGCCTAGCTTCCAAGTTTAGGCAGGCTCAAGTACTTCAGGCTATATTGCACACTTCTCAAAAAGATCTGATGAAAATGTTCTCATGGGTAATTGAAGTAATGGGGGCAGGGGTGGAGGGGAATATTCTGTCCATTGTAGGTTTCATACTGAAGGGGAAAAAAGAAATTTGTGTTTGTCTGAAGCCAGTCCCAACTTTCCCAATTTGTTTAATTCTGACATAGAGAACTGCCTTGCTTGTTCTATGAATACTGGTCTACCTAGCTCAGTTCTATTTACATGGATCAGCAATGCCTGTCCAGGGTCTTCTTAGCCCTACCTAAAGATGTAGGCAAATTATTTTCTCCAGCACTGAACTATGGTCCTCATTTAAGGTCTGCCCATTCTTCTGCCCATGGGCCTATGTGGGAATCAAACACAGGAATGCTGGCACCAATACTAGAATCATAACAGTGCACCAGGTGAAGATGTCCTCCAGTTCCCATCAGCCTCAGCCAGTTGAGCTAGTGTCAGGAATGATGGGAGTTACACTCCAGTCCACCATCAGGGAGCCAATGGTTCCTCACACCCAGTCTAGACCAGCAAGGCCAAGCTACACTGGTCCACATTGTCCCACCTACCGTGGTTCTTTTTCTCTGAAGCTGGACTCTTCATAAAAGAGGTGAGTTCAGGAGAATCAGTTTCCCTCACATGCCTGCCCTTTTACAATAATGGAGTAGCCAATCTGAGAAAAGCTGGTTTCTCTCAAGTAACAGTAGGTGTGTGCTTTCTGCTTTTCCTGAGCTGTGAGAAGTTATGGCTGGAAGGGGCTGAGTCACAAAACCTCAGTTTAATGGAATGACAATAAAAAGAGGCAGTCAAGCTGCAGAATGAGAGTAACTGGTAGAATATGCTGGACAGGGAATTTAAGGAAGGGTGGTTCTTTAAGGGAGAGTATTAAGCTCTAAATCTGGTTTTTTATGCAGATCTTAGAGTCTGTATATGAATTTCTTGAGGAAATTATTTGGCTTTTGAGATTCCTTAACAAGCCTTGGAGACATGGGTTACATGTTTAAATTATTCCAGCAGAAGGTGTATTTACAAGAAACAATCCCAAAGAGATGCCATATGTTTGGTGTCTTCACTTCTTCATTGCAGACCAACTCAGCAGCAGAGATCCCTTATTTGTTGTGGATACAACATCTGTATGTGGCTTAAATTTCATTTCAAATAAGTCAGGCCCACTGTAGCATCACAACAGTTGGGACAAACTGAGTCAGCCAAAATGATTCATTTTCAAAACATTAGAGTCAATGGCTCATCATGACTAAGGTCTATAAAGAAGGCCAGTAAAATAGCTACTCTGCCAAAACCATTTTCTAAGTTAGGAATTGTTAGGGGCTGGCTAAAAGGAGGCAAAGAACTCCATCCATCCTTTCAGCAGCCCACTGCATTTCTATATTAGATGCTGGGAGGTGGGAACTCCTCGTCTCTGGTACCTATGCTAGATGTTTACCTGCCTACGTGCACCCCCATGTCACCTATGACTACTAGAAGACATTAAATAAATGTTTATTTATTTGGATGTAGAATCCATTAAATCAATGGCACCTACTTCAGGATAAACATGGGTAGGATCAGCTTACACACATCAGTTAAGATTCTGGATGTCAAAGTACTATCCTAACTTCAACTGTTGCTGTTCAGGCCTGCAAAAATATTTCAGATTCCTATGTGCTACAATCACATTTTGGAACGTATGCAATTATTAAATAAATGGGGAGTTTTCTGTTCCTGCTTAAAACTGGGGTGCAGAGCTTCTTTTAGTCCAAGGGCCAAAATCCATTTAAAAACCTTTTGGGAGCCAAATTCCAAAGGTGGATGGAGCCAAAAGCAAAAAAAGCGATGTGCCAAAATATTAGCCTATTTCAATGTAAAGCTCATATGTTATGTTAGTTGCCTAGTCATTGCCGACCCATCACAACCCCATGGACAACAGTCCTCCAGGCTCTCCTGTCTTCCGCCATCCCCCGGAGTCCACCTAAGCTCACACCGACTGCTGCAGTGACTCCATCCAGCCACCTCATCCTCTGCCGCCCCCTTCTCCTTTTGCGTCCATGGGAAAACCCCATGGACAGTAAAGCTCATACATACAGTAAATAAGTCTTAAGAGAGTCATTGCTGCTTTTCAAAGTGGGGGAGGGACTGGAGAAAAGCTGAAAAAGCACCAAATTATCAGGGGTTGGGGAAAGTCGTATGGCCACTTGGGAAATCTAGAGGACTAGACTGGGATCCCAGGAGGGCCCTCCGACCTGAGGTTCTGCACACCTGGGCTGAAGCTTATATAGGAATTGATTTTTGAAGGCATGGTTCAGAGCTTGATCTAGTTCTTCACCTTTTTCAGCAGCAAGATTTATTCTGCATCAAAATGCGTACTCCACCGTGACCTGTTTGAAGACATACTGTAGCTTGTTTATTTTGAAGCCTAATGGAATGTACACATGTGCCCACACAATGCCAAAATGAAGACACATCTGGAGGTTTAGCTACATTGTGTACATTGCTCATATGTGCAGAAGACAACTAGGTATCTATAATCATATTACTCATTAAAGACTCTGGAAATAAAGTGGGAAGAAATAACATTACTGTGTTATAGCTCTTCTATTTTATGGAAGATGTTTCAAAGAGGACAACAGGCAAATGCTGGGAAAGACTCCCTATCTGATGAAAACATTTCTAACTTATTTACCCAGCAATTAACAGTGCAATGAAAGGAAAGTAGGTACTGTCCCACATTTCATGGTTTTAAAATACATTAAAATTATCCATAGCTGAAAACCTATGAACTTGACAGGTTTCTACTTAATCTCCATTTTTTCCCAGCTGGCTGACATGGTAGGTAGGGGGACTCTGATAATTTTAATATGTTTTAAATATTGCAAAGAAAAGAAATAGCAACTCACCTTTTAATATTAAGTATAAGAACACTATCACAGAGGGGCTTTTAACAGAAGGTTTGTTCAAGTTGTAATGTGACCTCAATTGTCTCCCATGGCCCTTAGATCCATTTATTTATTAGATTTATAGCCTTGTTCGTACAAAGAACTCAAAGCGGCTTACATCCTCCTCCTCCTCCTGCTCTCAACCTTATCCCCACAACAGCAACCCTGTGAGGTAGGTTGGGCTGAGAGCCTGTGGCTGGCCCAAAGTCACCCAGTGGGCTCCATGGCTGAGTGGGACTAGAACCCAGATTGCCTGAGTCTCAGTCCTGCGCTTTCAACCACTACACCACACTGGCTCTCATAGCTGTTGGGCACAAGTTTTGATCATTCTGCTCAGAATGCAAAGGCCTAAACCTTCACTGGGGAACCCTGGAGCCAAATCTGCCCCAGCCAATGTTTCCCAGGTGGCCTGGCCCCTTCTCCTGACCCCACCATCTTTCTTCCGGCTATGTTTCATCTGGTGGCCTCACAGCCAGACACCATGGTATTTCACATTCTAGATGGTTGAAATGTTGGCAGTAAGGGCTTTCAACTGCAGGATTCTGGCACTTTTTAAAGCCCTGAATCTTTTCCCGTGTTCCTTTTACTTTGGCACCATCAATCCCTGGGATACCCCACCCCCATCTGAAATTGAAATGAGCTTCTCTGAAATTGATGTCAGCTCTTGGGATGGATGTAGATCCCCATTCCTGGGCTAACAGAATGAGTTCTACCCACCTAAGAGGGGTGTGTGTCCAGCCTAATGCAATTAACAGGAAACGTTGGTTTGATTAAGGATAAAATAGAGAAGAAATAAATCTCAACTCCACTCAAGTTACGCATTTTAATAACTAGAAAAGGGTATTTGGTTAAAACATGCCAGGAGAAATGCTTGAACCAAATTTAAAGGATAATCAAACCCTGAAGGAAGAAAAGCTGACAGATTTCTGGTTCAAAGTTAATTTTTGTTTCCTAAACTGAGCCTATCCTGGATCCATTAGTGGAACCACCATAATCCATCAGACCTGTGCCTGAACCTGAGCTCAAAAGGTCCTAAATAGTGGTTTGCACATAATTTTGTAGTAGTCATGGTATCTCCTTCATATTTGCTAGTTCCTAGTAAAGCCAGATGGTACCCAATCTTATCCCTGGTATAAGTTGTATTAAAATATGTTTAAATTGTTGAAGACTTTTCAGGCATTATGAACATATGGCGGGCACATGGAGATATACAACCCTACCCTGGAAAAAAGCATGTTTCAGGAGTAGGGAACAAGTGGCCATCTACATCTTGTAGGATTCCAGCTCCCATCAGCCCCAACAAGCAAGGCCAATGGGCAGAGATGGAAGCTAGAGCTCAACATCCAGAGGGCTACAGGTTTCCTCATCTCTACCCTGTTCCATAAAATTGTTTGACTTCCTTTAAAGGAAGGCTGTAGATAGTCTTCCCCTTCCTCTCCTACCTTCCAGGCATCTTTTCTTGACCACTGTAGCCTTTCTCTAACCAAAGTAGTATTGATACTCTGTACATGCTCTTGGTGAATCTGACAAAGACGTAGCTGGATGTGTTGTGTTTAGAGAAGTCTTATGTTACTAATTCTTTTGCTGGAGCTTTCCCAAACATGTCTTATCCATCTTCCAGCCAGTATTTTTACATGCATCATCCAAGTACTATATCACCAAGGTTGCAGTTACTTGCCACAACAAGGTTAAATTGTTCTCTTTGGAAAGAGCCATGCATTTATGAAGTTCAGACTAGACCTTGTTAAAGAAAAAGCAGCAGAGTTCACAAGAATGTTTTCAACAGAAATTCTAAGCTTGGATTTGCAACACACATTCATTTTGGGCATCAAATAATCCTATGGAATTCACTCCCCAAAGAGGTCCGCCTGGCACCGTCGTTACTGGTTTTTCGGCGCCAGGTAAAGACCTTTTTATTTAAACATCATTTCAATTGTTAAAACATATGATCTGGCCAGGGCAACTTCTTCTTCCTTCTCTTTCTCCTCCTATATTTTTATTTTATACTGATAATTTTAATTTTATATTTGTAAATCAATGTATTTTTGTATTTAATGGTAATTTATTATGTACTATTGTATTTCAATGTATTTTATCATGTTGTAAGCCGCCCCGAGGTTTCGGCAAGGGGCGGCATAGAAATGTTAATAATAATAATAATAATAATAATAATAATAATAATATTTTATATCTCACAGGTACCAAGTTATTACTTATGAAAATATAAGGATGAAGAGAGGGTAAACACAGGCTTAACCACTTGTTTTGAACTATTTGAAATCTGTCCACTTTCTTTGTAAATGGCTGCCATGGCACTGCCTGCAGTAGCAAGGGTAGTATGTGCTTTTAACTAGAAGTAAAAGCAGTCAAGTGTCCCTTGTCGAGTTAATTTTTCCCCCTGCAGTGGAGGGCAGGACACATTCCAAAGGAGCCATGCTCAAGGAACCAAGGTTCAATTTGGATGCCAGGAAGTTAGGACCCTGAGGGTGTGGAATGGGCTTCCATGGGAGGTGGTTGAAGCCCCATCGGTGAGGGTGTTTAAGGACAGGCTGGATGTGCACATGGTAGGCATGTCATGAGTGGAGCCAGCTGGAGCTGGGGGTCAGACTAGATGGCTCAGGAGACCCCTTCTGACTTGCTCTGTTTCTGTTTCTTTGTATTCAGCCTGGTGCCATCCTGTATGAACCTGCCCAAATATCCTCTTCCTCTTCCAATGGCCTTTTCCATGTGCTCACATCTTGGAAAGAGAGGCAGGCAATACCTTGGGCCAGGGTCTTTGAGGCTGGCATGACACTTCCTGGTTAAGCAAACAAAGAACCAAGGCTGATCCTTTTGAACCTCGAGTCTTCTCTGTTTTCATGCTGTCTTCATGCTCTACTGATTTTAAAAATCTCCAGAAATCTTAATGTTTTAAGTTCTGTACTGCTACTCAGGAATAAATTCCTGTAGCAAACATTTAAAGTGCAAGAAAAACTTAGATAACCAATTAAGGAGTATGTGTTAGGGGCTTGGTTGGCTGTTTTTTAAAGTCAGCTCTGGGACTTAAGGTACTGTTACAAAAATTTTCTAAATTTCAGAAAACAAATTGTAGCATCTTCTCTCAGTAGTATTCAATCAAAATCTTTAGAAAGGAGAAAGTTAGCAATTCTGTCAATAGCATTGTCTTCAATAGTGTTTCTTGATAGCCATATAATTGGACTATTTGTGAGCAGAAGCAAACGCCTCACTCTACCTACTTCTACACTTGCTGTGCAGCTGAACTCGCACTGGAACCAGGTTCAATCCTAAACTTAGAATGCAGCTTTAAATCAAGGTTTTCAAGATGTACACGTGTCATTTTTTTCCAAGCAGGTAATACTCATGCAACACTAGGGACACACAGAGGGAGGAATTCACAGCCTGAAGGGAAGAGGGCCGGGTGAGCAAGTCCATACATGAGCTTACATGTAATTCCTGATCCTTTGATGGCAAGCAGGGCTCAACTCTAGAAAGGCCATTTTCCCTTAGCCTATCAAGGTCTTTGATTTGCTTAGTTTATACATTCTGCATCATTTCCCATACTGGGCAATCCAAAACTGCTTATAGCTGTAGTTAGTGTGGTTTGTGTTTTAAGGAATTTTTCAGAAGTACATGTCGTTAAGTAAATCATAAAATATTGGAAATCCAAGACTATACAATTGTGAGCGATGCACAGTTCTACTACTGTTCAATTCTATTAATGGAGACTTTATCCCTTGGGGGCTTGAATTCTACACAAGAAGAAACTTCACATCTCACCCAATAGATTTGGAGCAGAGGAGCTTAGGTCTGGGAATCCACGCTACCCAGCCTGGGGTCCTGAGATTGGCCCCACCACCTTTACCCAACCGATTGTTTGGTGGTTCCTGGCTTTTGTGAATTTTTTCTATCTCTACAAGGTTGAAATTCCTACTCTGTAGTTAATTGCTAACAGTAAGCTAAAATATACTGATGTTTGGGTTTTTTTGTATTTTTGCCTTGCTTTCCCTACAGCCCCACTCATCATTAGACTGTGGCCTGAGAGCTTCTCCAAAATGGAATTTCACTCAGGTTGAAAAAAGGTTCTGCACTCCTGCAATGCATGTTATTTCTGCTCAGCATCTGACAGGGCCCTTCAAGCCTTACCAAGTCCCCTGTGCCCTGCCAGTTCTGTTGCACACGCTGCCCCACCACTTGCATAACACAAAGGGGTGACTTGAATGGCAGAGAAACACTCATTTCCAGAGAAAAGTGGGCCAGTGCAGCGTGCATAAAGAGGTAAACCAACCTGCCTCCTTCCAGAAATGAGAATTTATGCTCATTTTGGGGCTTCTTCTAGGAACCACTAGATCTCCTTGGTATAAAGAACAGGTCCCACTTGGGCAATGGATTTGATGGGACCCAGTGCTTGCTAAAGGGTCATATGCAGCCTCCCTATGTGGGCAACACTACTGGTATTCTGAAGGCTTGCATACTTTATCGTCCAGTTGTTAGATTAGCAAATAGGTGCCTCCCAGTAGCAACACCACAGATTTCTGTTTGCGTTACACTTGACCTCTCCAGAACAGGAAGTACAGACAGGAGTCACTGGGGCTCTCCAGCAGCTGAAGTCAGCGGTTCTCAGCTCCTGACTCAGGATCTACTGGAAGTCTGATGAGACATCAGCACCACGTGACAGGTGGCATTATGGCCTCAGTTTGACCTCCAAGGTGACCCAATGCCAAGTCACAACCCACCTGCTGAAAACCTCTGACCCAGTGAAGCAGGCTGCAAGCAAAAGCTAGAATGACAAAGCCGGAATGGTAAAGCTGAAGCAGCAAGTATCTGGGAAGCAGATAGGGAGGAGGAAACAAATGCAGCAGCAACATCTAGCCCATCAGTTCACATGTAAAGTTTGGTGCTGATTAGTGAGCCAGCAGTTTGTCTCTATCCAGTTTTAAGAGACGACCCAGCTCAACAGTCATCAAGTCACAATATTTGTTTAGTGTCAACAATCTTCGTTTACACAATTCAAGAGACAGACTTTGGCTGCTGAAGCATTTATTACTAAAGCATACATGTGAAATTACAAGGCAAGGCACTACAAAAAGGACAGGCTAAACACCCGTGTACAAACAGCATGGATCTTGTATTAGTGCACAATACTCAAATGTAATTTAAGTGGAGTTATTGAGCAGTACAGTGTTTAGTACAGTGTTCTTAAAAATGTGAAAAGGACATGTAAATTGTCGTAGCATGTGTAACTCTTGCACGCTTTAAGTTACATGCCCCATTGAAAAAGTGACGACATTGGTCAAGGCCTTTTTGGTACTAGGACAATTTGGTTTAAGACAGATCTAAGAAATAGTTGTGTGTGCATTTTCAAAGAAAGCTGGATACAAAATTTCAATTACACAGCCAGAAATTTTCAGAGAAGTATCCTTGGATTCACTAGTTTGCTTTCTCCCCACTACATGAAAAAAGCAAATTCTACACATGAAGAAGCAAGTTCTTTTTAAAGGCCACTTTGACAGGCAGGACAGCGTATCTAAAAAGCAAGAACAGGGCATTTTCTCCAATGTAATCTGCTGAGGTTCAGAAGTGTTAAGGAACCTCCCATCATTCACTCCTTCTAGCCAGAGCTCTAATAGCTCAACTCAGACATGTGTGTATCCTTTTGCTTCTAGAACAGTTCTTTGTTAGAGAAGGTCCCCATGAAAGTGTAACAGATAAAAAGTTTTCCTGTCATTTCTTTCCCCCAACAGGTTACATTGCAGCTACCACAACTAAGCCACCTCGTTACAAGTCAGGCCACTGAGTATTGTTTGCCATGCTGCAATTTATTCTGTGCAGGGTTCAGGCTGTTTGTCCTCCTGGCTGGTCTCTTTTTCCCTTTCACCTTTGTGCTCAGCATCCTGAGAGCCATCCAATTGTGGGTAAAAGGGACCTACCAGCCAGTTGAGTGGCGTGTTGTTTACAAGATAATCCATCACATCATCCAGCGATTCCTTCATTTTCTTCAGCTGCCCTTTACTGTTGACAATAAGGTTGTCAGACACTTCACGGAAAGAGGATGCTGAACGGAAGCTTCGGTAGACGTCTCCTGCCATTTCCCCTACGTGGTGGGCCTGGTCCTGGATGTTCTGTGGCAAGCCCTGTATGCTTGATACCAGTGTGAGGCAGGTGGTCTGAAGCTGCTGGGTCAGGTTCCGTGCGATCAACAGTGTGCGTGATTCTATGTGCTGGAAACAAAGAATATGCCTTGAAAATGAGCTTGTTTTGCTACACCGTTTCTAATCACACCCTCAGGGAAGAGGTGTACTCAGAACTCCGCACTATTTCTTAGCTGATATTCTATTGCCAGCAATATTGGTTAGCCAATTGTCTTCATGGCATCACTTGTCATGAAGTAGGATTTCCAATTTAGAGTATAACCAACTTAATGGACCTGAGTTAGGGCACTGCTGTGCACCCTGATTAAGTCTCCATCCCTTTTTCAACTAACACACTATTTTTATTTATTTAAAATATTTATATGCCATTCTGTCACAAAAAGCCTCTGGACAGCTTACAACACTATGGACGGATCCAAAAGTGTCTCTCTACAAATAGACTTCTGATCTGAGGAAAGTAGGACCCAGCGAAGGCTTCCTGCTGGAGAAAGTCAGGTGAACAATTTTTGCCAACTCCCCTTTCTCCATTAAGTCACCAATGCCATTTCCTATGGTGTTTGAGGGGCCCCAGATCCTCTAGGAACACTATAGGAAGCAATACTGGAGCTGCAGGACAGAAAAAGGAGAATGGAACAAATGCCCCCCTACTCTCCTTAAGTGCTGGTAGAACTCTGCTGGATACAAGTCTGGATCTGAACCACTGACCAGTGTTTCTTCCAACATAAAAGCTTGTGCCCAACGGAACAGGCTGGGAATACCTGCCTAGCCACACTCTCATTCAGGAAATGAAATTCCTCTCTCTCCTGGCCTTCCATTCATACAGCAATGCCAAGTTGTTCTTCAGTCATTTTGCATGTATTAACTGGCTTTAATCTCATACCTGCTGTACACTATAAAGGTCTGGGAGGAATCGAAAGTGGCCTGGGAGAAACTGCCTTTCTATTTGACATGTTTGGCTTTCTCTATGCAAGCCAGCTGACTTCCACTGGAATTGAGCAAGGGAAGCAGCTAATGCCCAGTAGTAGCAAGAGCTAAGTTTAAGCCTATGAGTTCAATCCTGGACAGCAGCCATCTCACAGCGGTAATTATGTGGGTCAAGAGGTTAATACTCTCAACCTTGATAGAGAACTTTCAGGATGCTCAGCCATGGGCTGCCTCAGCAACCAGCAAGAAGGATGTTTTGGGTGCAAAGCTGGGAACCTTTGGGCCAAATCTCAGCTCCTTCATCAACAGCTATTTGATTATTTCAGTCAGGCTGCTGCAAAAAGTAATTCTTTCTGCATGTAGGCAGGTGCCAGAACAGAAGAAGTCCTTACGGCCTCAGCCAGAGCATGCTGGTTTCTCTTCAGCTCAAATGTACACTAGAAGCATGCAGTCTTCACCAGCATGTGCAAACAGGTGATTCCACACACAATGGACTTCAACCCACTGGCCTACTTAGCTGCCCTGTTATTTAGTTGCAGAACAGGATGACACCGAATACCAAAATGCACACAAATACTGATTCCATATGCATGTCCATGTATTTTCAGCATGCATGTTCAGAGACCTACCTCAGCACTGTTCAAGTCATCCTCATCATTTTGGCCTGTATTTTTCCTCCATTCAGTCCAGGAATTATACAGCTTCTGCTGGGCATCTTGGAGTTTTTGGTTGGCACTATTCATATTCTTCCTGGCATATTCAATCTAGAATATACAAACATACATATTCACATTTGCACTAGGATCTCTACACTTCCATTCTTGTGGGCCTGATTTTAAAAACAAGAACTGCCTTTCCTAATAATGTTCAGAACTGTTCAGGCTGTACAAATCTAGTTCTGGCTTTTTAGAACTCAAGGCAGGGGGAGGCATTCTATAGCCCCAACAAATTTTCAGAAAGCATTAGGAAGAGGAAATGTCATACATAGCAATAGGTGGATTTTGAGAACTGCAAGTTATCCCCTTGGATCCAAAAGTGGCACTGTCCAAGGAGAAGGGAGGGCTCCAGATTTTCACTGTTTCCCTTTCCTGCTACAAGTCCTGTGTACCATCCCATGTGCTGTTCTGGAATATTCCTCAGGAGGAGCTTTTTGAGAGCACAACAGGCTATAGCCAGGAGGAAGAGGTGGGAAAGCTACTCAGAGTAGGAAATTCTGCACATGGAAATTAAAATCCAAGCCATTAAAGAAAAACATTTAAAGGACTGTTGTGAAAATGCTAATTGCATAAGGGCAGGATTCATACAAAAAACTATTTACCACATGTTCCACTAGAAAACTCCCAAGAAAGAAACATAATGCACCTGCTCACTAACCCTCATAGCTATTGCTTGCATTCAAGTTTCATGCTAAGCCGCAGCCTGTAAATGGGAAACACCCTCTGCAGTGCAGCTGCACAGTGTTCAGAATGTTGCTTCCACAAAGGACGTTCCCTTTCAGACCAACCAACTGTGGCAAATCTGCCAATGGTTAACCAAGCCGATAGTGTACACTAGGGCCTTTTACAGAGCTTAGCACATATGCAATATAGCAGCAAGGTTTCAGCTCATACCAGACAGCTTCTGCACAATAAAACAAAGCAAGAACAAGAACTAGCTCCCATCACAGCTGCTCTCACATGCAGAGAGATTCATTGAAAAACCTGAGCCAGTTTTAGCATTACCTTCCACTGGCACTGTGCACAGCATAACTGAGAAGTGAGATGTGAATGAGAGGCAACAGATTACTAGTTGTGTCTGAAGGAAGGGCTGCAGCAGTTACTGTTGTGAGGAAGATCAGGAGAAACTGCTTTTGTATGCAGCTTATTGCCTGCCTTTTGCTTTTCTTAGATGCATGTGAAGTGGTGAGGGGCAAGGACTTGCACCCACTCCAACATCCTATTTCATGTCTTCTCAAGCTCAGTCTTCACACAAAGAATGCCTTCTGCAGTGAAACCTGAGCATCTGGGGAAGGAGAATGCTTGTATTCAGCTGCAAAACCTTGCTGAGTATAGCAGAAAGGTGCCGTACTCGGCAAATGTTTGTCCTCCCCATTTTAATCTTTGGGAAAAGGAGGACAATTAAATGGTCCTTTGAAGTTGCTTCAAGGTAAAAGAAAGTTGAATGACTTCATTCAGATTCTTTGTCTTATGCCAGAATACCCATGGCTGTAATGACTGGATATTTAACAGAACATTTTTATTTGTTCTCGTGTTGTGTGTGTGTACACACAAAATAGGCGAGGCTGGCTAGTTGAGTATGTTTGAACTGTGTAATACCTGAACCACAGTCCAGCCTTGCAAATGTCCCTGAATAAAAAAGACAGAATAAAGATGAAGAGAAATGGTAGACACTCAAGATGTGATGAGCAGTGCTGCTAACCAATGCTAACCAATATCCTGAAAAACAAGACAGCCAGATCCAATATATTAAGACACTTACCAGATTAACAGTGTAATTGAGTTGAGAAATTGTTTCTTGGCTTCGGAGCTTAGCATCTCTAACCTTGTTTAAGGCCTGTTGGTAGGCACGTGCTCGAACCTTTGAAGACAAAGATCCTAATCTAACATAGTAACTTGGCTTCTGAACTCCAACTTCAAATCCTTCCACTTTTGTAGCTTCTTTTTCTGCAGAGTCAATGAACAAGCCATTTCAACCGTCGTTCAGCAATGAGAGGAACATATAGTTTGCAAACCTAAAGGCAGCAAATGCTTCCACCTTGCTTGTTACTTCCAAGTTTACTCTTTGCAATCAAGACACATTACTGCCCCAGGCAACTTCAAAAGGGGCTGTCATTAAATGGCCAATGGCATGCACTGCACAAATATCCCAGGTTAAGCGGGAGGGCAACTTTCTGGGGAGAAGGCTTGCTGAAAATCCTATTCCAGAATCTTGAGAGCTGCTGCACTTTACAGTATCTGGCTGACTAACCATTGGCCCAACCCCATATTAGGAAGTTTGCAGCCATAATCTGAGCTTTCACAGAATGGAACCATTCTAGTAAAAACAATAAAGTCATTTATCATATTTTATATTCACTCCAGCCACAAACATTCCCCAAAGTATTTCTCCTCCGTTCATCAGCAAATACTGAAGTCTTCATAACATAAACAGTTTTATCTGCCTATTAACTGCCCAACAGACTTGGCCTTCTAGGAGAACTTACCTAATTCTTCTTCTGTAAGTGGGAGATACTGGTCTACCAGAGTTTCTGATGTGCTGAGTGCAGTATCCACTCCACTGGTAACCAGATGTACCACCCGACTTCCAAGAACGGTGTTAATGCTGCCATTGACAACCGACTTTGTCAGTTCCACGCTGTCCTGCACTGCTCCTTTTGTCTTGTCAACAACACCATTAATGGTATGTGCAACAGTATCCTTGGCACCAGTCACAGTGGTTGTTACAGCATCCCTCGCACCAACAACTGCATCCACTGCATTAGCAACGACCTAACAAAAGAAAGGTCAAAAACAGGTTTGTTTTCATTGAGCAGTATGTTACACTGCTCATTGAAAACAAATCCCAGAAGAGGCATCATTGCTTTAAAGATTTTGCCCTGTGAAACAGATGTCTCCAAAGAGGTGGTCACATCTGGCACGTGCAACATTTGCACCACAGTCAAAATTGCTGACATACAGTAGTATACACCTCACCTTAAGCCTGCCTTAAAAACCAAGAACATGCATCGTTATTACAACAAGGTCTCAAGTGTAGCAAACTGAGCCAACTCATGATTGTTTTCTACAAGGGTTAACATGGCCTCCGCCCCATACACACAAAAGACTATTTTGACAAAGTTTGTTTAATGATAAAACACCGGTATCTGGCCTTTAGGTTGGCCTAAATTTTATTTTATATAGCTCACTTTTTTCCCTTTCAAGGAGCACAAGGCAGTTACATAATTCCCCTCCTTTCTGTTTTATCTTAACAGTACTGTGAGGTAGGTTGGGCTAAGAATCTGTGACCAGCTAGTTAGCTCCATGGCTGAGTGGAAACTAGAACCCAGATTGCCCGAGTACCACACTCTTAACCACTAAACCACACTGGCTTTCTTCACATGTTTCACTGTGCCCTCTTAAGCATGGCTGAGTGAAACAAGAAAAGGCTTTGTGTACCAAGACTCCAAACTCTCTTGGAGATACTCAGCTTTGACAAAAGTCTGGGATATAGTAACCACTGGGTCCAAAAGAAGGTGTGCACACTGGGAAGGTTTCCGTGCTCATACAAGTTAAGCTGGAATATTTCATGTGTGCCACAAGTGGTCCGTATGCACCTACAGAACCACTCCATTCACAGATGAGAATGATCAAAATGAGATGTCCTGCGAGAGTTTTGAAGCACACACAAGAAGAGGACATAAAGCTCCTGGGCAAAGCATTGTGAACACTGATGCTAAGAGTTGAGTAAGGTAAGATCTTACTGCATACCCTCCTCAGCATTAAGGAGATTTCAGAGCTAGCCGATCAGCTATTTTTCTGAGCTAGTTATAGTTGGGTGCACCTTTCTATTCCTATGCTGCTCAGCTCTGAGTCAATGTCAGAAAAATCAGGAAAAAACTGCTTCAAAATAACTTACTTTATCAGTTGGTTGATAAAGAATGGGTAGCCTCTCTTCAACTTTATCGAGTCCAATACAAGCATAGTTGTTGGCAACAGCAACTGCAAAACATTGAGATCCGTTAAGGAGAGCCCTTGCAATGCTGAAACAGACCCAGAAGTTAGTATGTCTTCTTCTACGGCTAGAAAACAGGAACGATTCTCCTCTGGTCTGTAGAGGACAAAGTCTATCATGACTGCCTCACTTGCAAGCTGAAAGAGCCCTTTCAAAAGTGATGAAGCATTTCCTGGCCTACTGCCAGTTTACAAGAATAGGCTCTTTCCCAGCAGACGTGCAGGCAAGGAAGTACAAGATATGAACTGCCAAGTTTCTAACTGAGTCATTTGGAAAGTAGGTGAAAGGGTACTGCAAGACAGAGCTTGGCTGTGGGTGAAGGGTCAAGCCATATTGAGTTTCACCAAGAGGGTTTTTGACTTAAGCCTATTCCAAATCAAAGTTCCTTAGGCACAAGTCCTCAGAATATTAATTTTGGGGGGGAACTGGTTTGATTACATACATTTCGTTTGTAAGCTCAACCTGCTCACAGGCTTGCTGTACTCACTGGAAACAGCGAGGTGTTGAGGTGGGCACCCCAGCGTATTAATATGTCTATTAAGACATACATGCTGGGAAAATATTCTGTTTGTGGGGAGAAAACATTTTAGTTCCAGCATGCTTGCTGGTCTGTTGAGCTTTCCTGATTTGTGCACCAATCATATTACAGGTAACAATCTGGGGGGGGGGGGATGGCAGGAGAAAAAGCAGGCAGGAGAAATGCAAAGAGAGCAAGCAAAGTTCTTTGGCCTTTCTGGGCCTGTTTGCAGCTCATGCCAATTGCCTCCGCTAGGCAAGCAGGGAGACATGTTGAGACTGCAGCAGTTATTGGTAGGGATCTAGGCAGTAAAAATATTTTATGGGAATTTTGATTCCCATGTTCATTTGCATTGCATTCTTTCAGTATTTGTAAAATTGTATTTTTTTAACTGCTTCTATGGCACTTTTGTCTTACCATTTGTAATTCACCACAAGAACACTGGTTATTTGGTGCATTAAAAATGTAATTAATAATCTGCCATTTTACTGATGCTGCAAAGCCCTAAATAGGGCAGGTAGTCTGGAACCAAAGAACCTGAAGGCATATCTGATGTCTTTCACCCTGTCCACATGCAAATCTCAGTAACAGTTCCAGGTGCCCCATCTCTAGAAGTTAGGAGAGGTACCTAGAGACAAACCTTTTTCAGTAATTCAGCACTTCAGAGCACTTCAAGCTATCCCTTCCTTTTATCATTCCCGTGCAAAACTGTATTTCCTGTATTTAAATCTGTGAAAAACTTGTATTTAGCTAATTCTATTTGTATTTAGGTTTTTTAAATACTTAGGTTGTGATGTTATATTGCTTGCCTTGTTAGTCACCTTGAACACTGCAGCACAAAGGCACGATATAAAAGTTAATAAAAATTGTATTTGCACAAAGTAAACTAGGATTTATTTTGTTGGAGACAAAGGAACCAAATATACAAACACTAATTAAGACAAAATGGAAACACACACATTAACCCAAAGTTTAGCTTGGTTTTCCTGTTTGTCTTTATGCAATAACTGCTACTAAAGTAAGGAAGTACACATACTTCTCTGCCTCTTTTCTTAGAAGCAATTCTTATGTGCCCATGAGAACCAGGTACCTACGAGTCTGTAGCATAAAAATAGCACTTCAGCAAAAGTATCGAGCTGATTTATGCTGAATACAGCTTGAGAAACAGTGCCCTTCAAAGACGCATGGCTAGCCATGCACCGTAAGTTAAGTACTGGAAGCAGCTTACGGAGCAGAAGAAAGAATTTAGCAGGGTGGGGAGCAAAATTTTGACGACCAAAAAGAAAAAAAGAATGCCTTACTTTGTGGTTCCAGCCTTTGGAGGATAGGCAGCGCACTGGTCATGGCCACTGCAGTGATGGTCTTCACTCCTTTCTCTGCAATCTCACATACCGACTTCAGGTAGGGATGGTTATCTTTCGTGTTGACATAAGCAGAGGAGACCATGTCATAGGTGGAACTCACCAAGGGAAGATTGGCAACCCTGGAAACCACGTTCTGTGTATACAGAAGACGGAACAGTTAATGTACATGGGCTAATGTATATTTTTGGGTAAGTGGCAAAACTTTTTTGGCTTATTCAGACTTACCTGTTGTACATCAGCTGACACTTCTGCCATGTTTTGGTCTTGAATGTTTCAGAATCTGGAAGGAAGAGCACACATTAAATGTAAGACTGGAAATAAAATTTAACTGTTGACAAAATGCAACTGCTACAATGTAATCAACTCAGACTTTACTAAGATCTTGTTCACAGAATAGAATGGGAAATTAAAGCCTGAAACTTAGTCTGACATCTAATCTTTCCTAGAGCTTGCTGAACCACCTAGTGATTTCAAGATTATCATCCCTGGCACTATACTCTAGTTCATTTAGTAAGAATACAGGCATATACTGAACTGGGCACCGACACATTTTAGGGGCTAAATTGTATACAGTTTAGAAGCCCTGACCTTTGTGTCCAAAACTTGCCTTATTTACCTAGCCAAAATAAAGCTGTATTGAGTTCAGAAAATGAGGTTTAAATTACAACTTTATATTCGAAGCAGGTGTTGTATCCTGGCTAAGTCTATGCTAAGATAGTGCATAGAGATAGATTCAGAAAAGACATTAAGGTTCAGGTTTCTAGAATGTGCGCAACTCAAATCCCTTGAATTCACAGTGAATTCCTGTACATGTTCTATGCTACATTATTTTCCAGCGACAAATAAAAATTAAGGCTGCGTGGTTTGGGATCTTCTCTTTGTACTGATCCTCTTTGTAGTCATAATGGGAAGAGCCTACTGCAAAAATCCTCTAAGGACATAGCAGGGTGTGGTCATATATTTCTGCTGACAAAACCAGCGTCTGTGTTATGAAACCACATCACTGTTCTATGGTCAAGGGAGTGACTCTGGAGTATTCTTCAAATAAGCAAGTAGAATGTATTTAATGCAGATATGGGATCCTAAGATCTTTTTCAGTGCCCATGTATTCTGCTACTATACCTGTAAATTATCATCCTAGTAATCACAGCTTGGTGTTTGTTAGTTTATTCTGAAAGCCCATAACAAGTAATTATGTCCCTCTGAAAGTCAATCAGGCAGGTAGTATTGCCTGTCATACCAATCAATTAAGAAAGTAATGAGCACTCTGAGACAATAGAATTGTATTATTTTATGGACACTGCAGTGGATAGGGCATTACATGATTAATTGGTAGTTAGACTAAGCAACAAGCAGGATTTTTATATTCAGACACTCAAAAAAAATCCTTCGTTATTTGGTCAAGCATAGTTTTAGGCACCATATACATCTGGTACAGAACATGTTGTATTACAGATTATGAATACTCTCTTATCTACCCAATTTTCTAGTTTGCCTTTATTTATCTAACTATCAATATATACATAAGATTAAATTTCTTCTACACAGACTCCTGTGCTCCCGGTGCCAACTTTGTTTCTCGTCATCTCAAATATGGGGTATTTTAGAGGTTTGGACACCACTGATGCTCTACATGTGGCAAAAACATATGAACCTGAGAAAATTAGTACACCTCCATACTCTTAATTGACAGGAAGTATAAATGAGGTCTGCCTAGAAGGGCCAAAATCTGTTTAAGTAAGTTCATATAGGAACACTTTCAAATTTAATTACACTGCAGTAATTACACTGCTGTGTAATTTAATTACATTATTCAACAAATACATTCAACTCTGTTCCAAACAGATATCCTATCGTTTATATCGTTCGTATCAAAACGAGTGCGTGAATATGAAAGCCTCCCACCTCTCAGTTTCTGCTCAACCACTGAGAAGAAACGCAACTACATCACATTACAGGTTTTTTCCTTTAAAAATACGCATGCTCTGGCATCTTCCGAGAATTTCCAAAAGCACCTGGAACGTCCTTCCAGACAGCAAATTCCTCCAGAAAGTATTTCCTTTTGCCCCGGAGTGTCTCTTGTCAGCAGGTTCAAGAGCAGTTCCGAAGTAAAAGCAAATGTTTCCCAGAAAAGCCATCTCGCCATCCAGCGTTTTGCTTCCCATGCAAAGTGGGAGGTTGAAAAGAAGCCGGCTACCGTCCGGCTGTAGCTGTGGGGCAGAGAGGGCACTGCGTGCAGCGCCAGTCTAAGCTGAGTCTCATTCATTCCCACGGGCATGCTTTAAGCAGGACTAAACCCATGACACCTCGACCACCTCCCCGTTGTTGCTTTCGTCTCCAGTCCTAATGGGCACGCACGCACCCACCGACAGAAAAGGGAGCCCCTGGGGGATCTGCAGCTCCGGACACCCACCCACCCACCCGGCCCTCCGCGGGCGTCCGAGGCAGCGTGCAAAAGAAGCAGAGGAAAGCCGCCCAGCCAGAAGGGACGCCGCAGCAACAAGGGCGGTACCGGGGAGCCCACGGCGCTGACAGCCGCGGCACCCGGAGGGGCTGCGCTTTCGGTTTGGCTCCTCCGAGGTCCTCCCCCGCCAGGCAACCACTCCGGCGCTGAGATTAGGGGCTTCTCCGTCCGCAGGCGCCAAGGGACAAGGCGCGGCAGGCAGGCACCACTCACCTGCGAGAAGACGGGGAGCTACTGGAGCCGCTCCAGCACGCGAGAACGCAAACGCTACCTCCGGAGCCCCGCGACGACTGCCTCCACGCCCGCGCCTTGCCCGGCAATTTATGCAGAGAGGCCACCACCCTCCCGGCAGCAACGTCTCGCGAGATGGCCGCCCGCTGATCCAAGCCGCTTCCTCCGCACGCCTCGCCCTGCTCACATGACGCGCCGCCGCGGAGCCTCCCCTCCCGCCTCGTTAATTGCAATGTTATATAAGTCTACTCTGGAGTGGTTGCTGCTGTAACATGCCGTCAGTTAGAGCCCTCCAGAATGCCCTGTTCATGACAGCTCCATGCAGCTTTTCCAAGTTGAAGGCCGTGGCTTCCTTTATGGCAGGGGTCCTCAAACTCTTTGAATAGGGGGCCAGTTGAAAGGTGCCAGGGATGGGACCGCCAAGGCGGTGCGGGCAGGGGGCGCGGGGGGCCTCGGGGCCGGCTTGCTCACAAGGAGATCCTTTTCTCCAAGCCAGTCCAAAATGATCTCCTTGCAAGCAAGCCGGCACCTCACCACACGTGCACACATGGCAAGCTATAGCTGGCTGGATCTGGCCCCTGGGTGTAGTTTGAGGGCCCATGCTTTATGGATTCCATCCATCTCAGAATTGGTCTTCCCTTCCGTCTTCTGCCTTTGACTTTCCCTAACATGATTGTCTTCTCCAAGTAGTCTTGCCTCCTCATGAGTCCTAAGTATGACAGCCTCAGTTTTGCCATTTTTAGTTCTATGGAAAACTAGTAAAAAGTAAGCCCCCTTAATTCCAAGGAGGCTTACTCCTAGGTAAATTACTATATTAATGCACCCTTACTGTGCAATACTACTGCCTTTAATGGGGTAATTCTAAATATTTAGAAGCATAAAAATATAACTGATTTATTGTAGCACAGGCTTTCTAGACTAGACTCCAGTTCAAAAGGCATGTCATAGGGACTATCAGCTAGACCTGACCTGCTAAAATGGTTGATGTAGTACAGGTTGATGACCTGTACAGGAGGTGTCCAGAGCGCCATCTGGTCCATCCTTGTTGGATGAGTTTCAGTTGTTGCGGCCTGAAGATGTGGACAAGGTGCTTGGACTTGTCTGGCCTACCACTTGTTTACTCGACCTTTGCCCTTCATGGCAGCTCATCAAAGCCAAGGACGGGATGTATATCTGGGTCCAGGAGGTTTTTAGTGCCTCCCTGTGGGAGGGTCGGGTTCCCATCCCCTTGAAGAAGGCAGTGATCAGGCCCATCCTGAAGAGGGTGAACCTGGACCCAGAGTTGGCCACCAATTATACACTGGTGGCTAACATCCCATTCTTGGGCAAGGTGCTCAAGCAGGGGGTGGCTGGACAACTCCAAGCTCTTTTGGAAGAAACTGACCATTCGGAGCCATTTCAGTCTGGCTTCAGGCCTGGTTATGGGACAGAAACTGCCTTGGTCGCCCTGTATGATGACCTGTGTAGGGAGAAGGACAGGGGGAATGCATCCCTGTTGGTTCTCCTGGACCTCTCGGCAGCTTTTGATGCCATCGACCATGGTATCCTTCTGGATTGGCTGGCTGAGTTGGGGGTTGGAGGCACTGCCTTATGGTGGTTCCTCTCCTACTTGGCTGGTCGATTCCAGAAGGTGGTGCTGGGGATTATGGCTCTACACCATGGCAGCTTCACCATGGAGTTCCTCAGGGTTCCATTTTATACCCCATGCTTTTTAACATCTACATGAAACTACTGGGAGAGGTCATCTGGAGGTTTGGGCTACAGAGTCATCAGTACGCTGCTGACATCCAGCTCTAACTCTCTTTTACATCAAATCCTGGTGAGGCAGTGGAGATCCTGGACCAGTGCCTGGCCAGGGTGATGGACTGGATGAGGGCCAATAAATGGAAGATTAATCCAGACAAGACGGAGGTCCTACTGGTAGGCAGTTTAGCCTTCCGGGCAGGTGTTTCCAACACTTCTGAATGGGGCTGCACTCCCCGTAAAGGACAGGGTGCACAGTTTGGAAGTGTTCCTTGATCTGGAGCTGTCCCTGGAACTGCAGGTGGTGGCTGTGACAAGGAGTGCTTTCCTTCAGCTTAGGCTGATTTACCAACTGTGCCCCTATCTGAATGAGCAGTGCTTGGCCACGGTGACCAGGTAACTTCCCAATTGGGGCTGCCCTTGAAGATAGTCCAAATACTTCAAATGGTTCAGAATAGAGCTGCCAGGTTGTTAACAGGGACCAGCAGGTATGAACACATAACACCACTCCTATACCACCTGCAGTGGCTACCAGTTAAAGCCCAGGCCCAATTTAAGGTACTGGTGATGATCTATAAAGCCCTAAATGGCTTAGGTCCTAGTTACCTGAAGGAGCATTTCCTTCCATACATGCCTGCCCGCCCCTTAAGATCTGGGACAGACACCCTTCTCTGGGAACCCTCCTGGAAGGAGATTAGAAGGGTGACTACCCGGAGAAGGGCCTTCTCTGCCATGGCACCCCAATTGTGGAATTTGCTCCCCAGAGAGATTCGCCTGTCACGATCACTTTATTCTTTTTGGCACCAGGTAAAACCTTTTTATTTCCCCAGTGTTTTAAGACTTGATTGTTTTCATAGGGGGTTTTATTGTTGACTGGAAATTTTCTGTTAGGATGCTGTGTTTTCTTCCATTTTGTCTTATCATGAGACTATGGTAAGTGACAGTCTAAAAAAGTTGTAAATAAATAAACAAACAACACTTTTCTGCTGAAGTCAAATATAACAGCAGGTCAGAACCTCCAAATGCACATGGATCTTATGTTGTCTAGCTCTGCTGACCAAGGCAACCAGTTCTTAGACAAAGATTCAGCTTATTAACTGGAGGAAAATCCTCATATCAACTGTTGTCATTGTCGAGCTGGTCAGTGCTTAGCTTTTCTTCCCAGTGTGATCCAAGTTATTTCTGCTAAAAATTCATTTCTTTACAGACAGAAGCTGAAAAAAGCAGTGGTTATATGAAGTAGATGTTTGCTTCCTTGATTTTCCTTCTAACACAATTTGCTCTCTCTGGTGATCTGTCCTCCATTATGTATTCTCTCTTACAACATTGATCATAAACATTAGTGCACTGCAGAATCCATTACAGGAGGCAGTTGGTTCTGAAGTTAAAGAGAATAACTAATTTAACAACAGAAGGCTGCTTTTGAGGGGGGGGGGGGCACTCCCAAAGAGTTGGATGACAAACAAGACCCATCCATTGCAATGAAAGGGGAGTTTTGGCTTCTCAGGAAGTACCCCACAGGGCATTGAACCAGTAGAAAGTAAACCCAGAGCCTGTTTGCAAACATGAGTGATCATTTGACTTCATGTTGTTTACTTAATTTTTCTTATAATTTCCTGTCTCAATAAGTCTTAAACATATTTTCAATGTTATTTGACCATAAAAGAATTGGTGCAGATTTGAATGGGCTTTTGATTGATTTTTCCACACATGGTATCCTTTTTCAGTAAGTTTTTGACATATTTTTGCAAGATGCTTGGCCACAAAAGATTGGGGATAGATTGGGATATGCAAAGGGCAAGATATTTTTGATGGAAAGAGGCAAGAATGTTCTGTATGGGTTCCAGGAACCAAAAGTTTGGTCAGAAGCTTATCAGCATCTTCAAAAAGAAGGTCAATCATGCGCAATAAAAACAAGCTTCCCTGAAAGAGAACGGTTCAGGGTCAGCCCTACACTTAGCCAGAGTGAGACTGTTGCTTTAAGTGGCAGATGCTGGTTGGCAGCAACAAATGTTGAAGGACAGAGTTCTGCCTTTTGCAGCCTGTCCTGTGCTCCCTAAGGTTTTTTGCTGCCTTCAGCTGCTACGGTGGATGTTGTCCTGTGATCAATATTGAAGTAAGATTGAATTGCCTGTCCAGTTCTCATTGTACATGGAATGTGAGAAGTGACTTGAGCTGGCTCTGAAACTTTTTCGGCATTGCTTGCAATGTGCAGCTGTGTTCTGAGATGCATTTGCCATCTTTGTGAGGAAATGACTGGGCTTTCTCAGCAGGTGACCCGCCATGGGCCGTTGCTATGTTGTGTGAACCCAAACCATTTCCTTCAGGGTGCCTTGCTTGTGTGCAATAGGCAACCGTGACAACCCATGGCTTGCTTTGGGGGTGTTTTACTCCTGATGCATTGATGTGTGATCTGAACCAGGAGACTGACCCTGTCAGGGGGACTGGGAACTGCCCAGGGAGTTGCTTGGCAAGCGCAAGATAAACTCTTTACTGATCTTGTCAAGCTCACCGGGGCCACCATCTGTGTTGGCTGCTCTGAAAGTACTCAAGTGACATTGCACTTGTGGCTTTTAACCCATGTAATGCTTGTGGGTACCACAAGTAACATACTTTTCCTGCCTCTTCATGTGCATTTGTATTTGCATTGCTTTGGGACTGTATGGGTATCAGGTTTTGCTGACATGACAAATAATTCTCAAATGTTACGGCTCCATCTAAAATTATGGTCAACTGGTGGGCCATCTGAGAGGGATAGTTTAATTTGGAGTCCTGCACTGAGCAGGGGTTCAACCCAATGGCCCCCTTGGCCCCTTCCAGCTCTATGATTCTATACTTTGATGGGCAGCTTGCGGTATAATCCCATTGAGATGAACTCCAGAGAGGCACTAGTACAAGTGGAAACTACACGGATCCATTTTTGCAAGAGGAGAACTTGAAGTGGGGAAGCAGAGTTGGTTTTTTGAGTTGTTATCATCTTGGGATTTACCAGTGTTTACTTAATAGCCATATAACGTTCCTGCAAATAAAATTCCTCCCCTGGGGTGGGGATCTTTACCAGCTGTCTTTCTACACTAGTGTTGCATGTGTGATTAGGGAATGGATACATCTACATTGTGTTTCCTAACTATTTCTGTTTATTTCTTTATGTTGGCCTAAGCTTAGTGCAAGAAGGTCGCGTATTCATGAATGAGTAACAGTGCTGGGGCATGCTTTAAATTTCCACACAGGTTCTTGAGCAGAACAAACTCAGAACATCTTTAGATTCCGTGCTTGTGCGATGCTTATTTTAAGGATTATCTCATAATTATGATCATTACTAATTATAATAAGGAATAGTAATTA